ATATATATATATATATATATATATATATATATATATATTTACGCGAAGCGTTGGAAAAAGGTTGGTTTTGGCTTGGCTTACCTTGATTTATCTAAAAGTAAGTTAGCCAATAAGATCACGTTTAATCTCGGTCGATTCAGCAAACCTACTAGGAGAGTGCAAGCATTTAAAAAAAGGAGATTTCGACTCGATGTGGCCTTGATGTGGGGGCATCGACGCTCAACTATAGTGTCTGTATGTGTATATATATATATATATCTGTCGATTTTTTTTTTTTTTTTTTTACTGGATTATAATAATTACGGCGTGTGGAGTTTTATATAGCACGACGTTTACTTCGGGTTCTTTAATACTTCTACTACTGAGAGGAGTAAAGAAATACTTGATGGGTGGTGCTGTATTTATGTTCATTGTTCGAAGAGAATGTTCGCTTTTACTATACGATACAAAAGTGATCACTCGAAGGGAAAGGTTGGAGTGTAACTTTCAATTTTCCAATAATTTTTCTCTCTCAACGATTTACTATAATTTTGAATTGAGAAAAATCGATGATTTCTTTGAATCAATACGATCGATCTTTTCTTAAAATTTGCCATTGATAATAATTTCTCTTTCTTATGGCGTATACGTAACCACCTTTTATTAAATATACACGCGCCATGACATTTGAATTTTTTTTACTCGAAATAAAAACAATAAAATGCACGCAAATAAATTCTGAAATTATTCGAATATAATTTAAATAATTTATCTCAAGAGAAAAATTCTCCCCCCACCATTTTCCCTTCGAGAGATTATTCTAGATCTTAATGTGTATTATATATACTGCTTATATCGTGGCGACTGTATACTATATGCGGATATGTGATAATGTACAGTGTGGGGTGTGTAGCGTATGAATGCAGCATATAAGCTACGCAAATAATACATGATATTGTAAAGGGATATCGAATAATATCGTCGAAATATTACCTGCTATGCATGTTATATATCTGTACACTCTGCTGAAACTAAATAAGCAGCAAAAGGGTTAAAGGAAAGACAACACTCGATAATAATGTACAAGTCAAGCAAACATTGGGTCGACACAGTTAATAAGTAGGGTGTAATCAAGAGAGAGAGAGAGAGAGAGAGAGAGATAGAAAGAAAGGTGTTCTCATCGAAGGTGTTTTCTCGTCGATAAAAATTAAAAATAAACTTCTGGACAAAATTCTACTTTCTCTTTTCTTGGGGGAGGAAAAAAAAAAATAAATAAATAAAATGGAAAATACTACTTCACTCGGAACATTTACTCGTCAGCAGTTTTGTAACGAAGGCGATATTTCTTTTTGTCGAAGCTCTACGTACCCCGAACTCGATCACGAGGGCGTCCACGATGCTGCCGATCACCGTGATGAAGTCGAACGTGTTCCAGGCGTCCTTGAAGAAATTCTGCTCGACGGGGAAACGAGAGAGAAAAGAAAAAAAAAAAGTATCGATTAGGTATCCATCGCGCCATCAGGCTTGCCTACAACTGTCGTCGAAGCTTCTTCGAAAACTGATTCGATTCTTATTTATTTCTTCGGCTCAATTTTGCATTTTCTTGTTGATTTATTATTCAAAAAGGTTCGAGGAAACTTCGAAGCAGTTAAAAGATGTGTGTGTATATATGTGTGTTTGTGTTTGTGTGTATTAAATGGCAGCGCTAAGAAACTACGAATTTCGTAAAGAGAAAAAGAGGGAAGCTCGGCCCTGCTTTCGCAGGTTTCGATCTTTCCAAGTGAATTTATCGTTGTGTTTGTGCGTGTATATTTGTATACGTGTGTGCCAATACGCACCCCTTCACCGAACTTTAAACGTCGGTTAAAAAAAAGAGTTAAAGCGAAGAGCCGTGCTTTCGAACAATGTGTTTCTTTTTTTTTTTTTTTTTTTAGTACAAAAAAGGCCATATCTCTTCGTTCAAAAAAGAAAATTGTAATATTTGCATTGATAACTGTCACGTATAAAATAATATTCTATCGTGTATACAATAGATAAAATAATAGAAGAAAGGTTAGTTATTTAGAATTAGGGAGCCATCCCATCGATTTCGATATCTTTGAGATATCTTCAAAGTTATTATTTGAATAATTCCTTTCTACACGGATGATTAACATTTTATTGTTAATTTTGCGCATCAGTTTTTTGAGATATATGCAAATGTATTTTTTTTCTATCTCGTACAATATGAAGTTTGCTTCATGTTAGATTACGTAAGTTTGTATTATATTTGGATTAAATTTAGGTTAAGTTTCAATTTTTAATTAGAACATATGTTACCATTTTTCTAACAATTGAATGAATAAGAAAATTTAAAACACAAATCTTTAGATAGTATCATTATGTTCAATTTTGGTCAAATTTCAACTTGAAATAAATTATTGGAGATTTAAAAGATCAATCCAAACCTGACTCGAATTTTAGAAGTATAAATTGTTAATATATTTGTAAGATACATTTGCAAGATCGATTCTAGAGACCAGAAACAAAAGTTGTAACCCAAAAACATCGATTAAGATTTATTTATCAAATTACAAATCAATTAAGTTTGCATCAGATGAAACCAAAAATGCGAATAGAATAACTACTTTCAATTGCACAATCTGATATAAATAACCTACGTTTTTCTATACTCAACTTTTACTCTTTTATTTTAGCCTCTAGAATTCACCTACAAAAATATTTTCGCGTACATCTCCATATATAATAACAATTCGACATTTCAAGATTAATCAAAATCGACAAGATCCTCGTTTCCAAATAATAATATCGAATACAGTTAAACCAAAAAATACTTTCCAATCTACGGAAACAATTGAAAACAATTCTACCGATATCTCTCCAATTTCTTCTCCCTCGTAACAAGAGTGTTGTGCGGAAGATGAAGAGATTAGGCTGAGAGGGATCTTTTACACGATTTACGAGATATCCGAGTCGCACGGCACGGTGATCGATGATCGATTGAAGTATATACGACAGGATCTCTTTTCTAAGTTAGTATCTACTACGGGAGCATGCCGTAATAGGTATATATATATATATGTATGTATATAATAACAAGCAAACTATATATATGTAATATAGAGAGAGAGAGACAGAGAAAGATAGATACGCGGTCGTATCGGTCGAGAAGCTCTATAATTTTTCCACCACCTTTTCCCAGGGCCAGGAAAGAGGTCAATCGCTTAAAAATTAAATTGTATATAATGCAAACAAGAATAATCATCAGAGAGCGTAACAAACTCAACTCTATCGCAACTTCTATCGATATCTATATTTACGTCCACTTCTAGGTTTTAAATAATCTAAATAGTCTAAAATACGATTCAAAGCGTATACCGACCAACTTCCCTTCGTCCAAACACGTATTGTATTAACTATCGTAATAATGATCGAAGTTGGGTATTGATCAAGTTGAAAAAGTAACTAGTTACAAATTTCGAGTAAAGTTACTTTAAATAATTATTGAAATGCTCGAGTAACATATATTATTATAGTAAATTCGATTTTTATGATAATATTCTCGAAATAAGTTTATTCGTAATTTGAACTTATTGATGTGATGATTCTTGCTGATAAAAATACTTTTATCGTTTATATTTTCTTTCGTTCTTCTACTGTATCACAGGTTATTATTTATACAAGGTGTCTTTCTTTACCAGAGTTCAGATAGGGAGATTGGTTATTTAAAACTCGCTCCCCTCCCCTCATTTTTACGAGCTCGAAGTTAATCGGTACACGCTCTCGCAACTTGTAAACAGATCAAACAACAGGGGATCTTAAGTTCGTGTATGCTTACTCGCTACTTCGATGGTTATTGGATTATTTTAAGGAGAGAGAATTTCAAAACGTCTCTCCCGTGTGTGTGTGTATATTATGTATCACATACTCCTCTTTTCTGGCGCTAGTTCAATTTTCTTTTGTTTCTCTCGATCTTCGACGAAGATTTTTAATCCTCTCGCCAGTTGTCGAAACTTTATTTATTTTTTTTCTTTTCTTACGCGTAGGATGATCTAGATCGAAACGAGTGAAGAAAAATAAAAAAGAAAGAAAGAAAGAAAGAAAGAATTATGATAGCATGGGATACAATTAGTCACGAAAGTTATCGTATGCATTAAGTGATGATTAATTGTGTTATTGAAGGTAAATTTTGTTTTTATTGAAAGTTTGGATGTTAAAATCTTAAGATTTAAAATAAATAACTTTTTAAATGGAGTGAGATATATATTTTAAATATATTGGATTGGTATTAAAGTTTTAGTTTTTGATTTATTTCTATAAACTTAAAATGAATTAATGAATAAGACAATTTATATTTTCAATTGATTTGAAAGAATAAATTATTGCAACTATTGCAAAAAAAGCATTTTTTATATCTTTGAAATAAATATTATGAGCGAAACATAATTATTAAAAGTTTGAAATCATTTCTCCAATTATAAGTATATCAAATCGTGATCTAATTTTGCTATAGAATTCCAAATATTTTGTTTATAATACAGATACAAAATTGACATTGTTTTTCAAAATAATCTTATTGTTTTCTATTATAAACAAAAAAATTGATTTCATCCAACATTCCAATAAAACCAATATTCTATATTATCTTGCATGGAATGCACAAATCTTTACTAAAATCGAAATTTTCGGTTCAGATGAATTTACGATACCTTTTCGACTGATTGCATAAATATATATGTATAAATATAGTTGCGTGTATAACTGAAGTTAGCGGATTTTTTAGTGATTAAGAGGATTGTTTTTATACCTTCCATCCGAAGGCGACGAGTTTGAGGATGCACTCAATGAGGAAAAGGAGTGTGACGAAGAAGTTCACGATGGCCAAGGCGTCCACTAGCTTTGGCGGCGCCTCGTGAAACTACAAAATACACCCAACACACAGACGTAACACAAGCCTAGATTCTAATATCGGTGCCCGTCTTTCCCTTTTTTTTTATTTACCCTCCACCATTTTCTTTCCCAACCTCCCTACGCCTTCCCAATTCGTTAAACTCCAACTTTCCCAAACAATATTCTCACGAACAACTTTCCAGACGGGCTAACAGCAAGCTATCATGTTCCACCCTCCCTTATTATATAATATTCCGCGCCATTTTCCTCTCTTCGTTTACCTCGTTTACCTTATTAATTTATCACGTTATCGACAGCTCGAGCAAATTTTCTTTTCCCTTTTTCGTGTATTGCACTCGTCGAGATCGACTCTTTTTCTTTTCAACGAAAAGAAGGGAAATAAAGAAATATCGGACGAAAAAGAAAATTTGCCCATTTTCCGTCTGTCGAAGTTTCAAATCGTCTCGCAACGGGGTTACCTCGATGCATATCTCCTCTCTTTACGCTCTTTCTCGTGACAGCTTTTAACGATATAAAAGGAGAGAGAGAGAGAAAAAATTACAATACCTCCTTTTCTTTTTTCTTTTTTTTGGAAAGATCAAAGTAATCCCCTTGCACCGACGGCGGTTTCCTCTTTCCCAATCGAGGAACCGAGTTTAACCTCTTTTTTGTCTCCCTGCCCCAAAAAGATATTCGAGCAAGTCTAACCAATCTTCGACAGATTCTTACGAAGTAGGCGATCGGTTCTCGAGCGCTTTGCAAATGGCAGCGCGGGAAACGTCGCTTCTTGTATACATGTGTGTGTATGTATGTATGATGGGTGTGCGTATGGAACCCATAACTGGTACCGGCGGTGGTAGCATGGATGGAACTCTAGTTTTTTTTTTAAAAAAATACATGTATTTTTTTTTTTATAGATTTTTACGATTTAAAATGGTATTAATTGTTGAAATTCGTTGTGATTCGAGAGTTGATCACGCGCGAAGTTTCGTTTTATTTATTTATTTTTTTATTTTATTTTTAGGGATTTTTGAGAGTTACGTGCCGCCATGTTGGATTTTAAGGTTTAATTCGATTGGAAGTAGTGATACTGGCGCCAAATATAAATTGCTCTTTGGAAATGTTGTGTGTTTTATTACATGGCATAATTATAATTGTTCACAACTTATTTTGCAATCTTTTGGATTTTTTCTAGATTTGATGTTTTCGATTTATATTGGTATCAAGAAACCAAAGTTGAAATTTTTATTAAAAACTTTTGATAGAAAAATAGGAAAAAATACAAACACATAAAACTAATTGAAAGAAAAGAAGAATTATTAAAATTAAACGCTAATCTAAATAAAATAATTCATTTTTTAGCCAGATTCATCGAATATATAATAATGATCGATCTGTTAATCTAAAGATAATTTGAATTTGGCGCCCACCGATACATCGTTCATGGCGTCATATAATAGATAAAATACTTAAAAATATGCAACTTCGCGAGTGCACAACATTTAAATAAATCAATAAAATTCATATCACTCATGAAAATCTATAAAAATACACTAAAAAGACTCAAACTAAAGTTCAACCATGGTATGCGTGTGGCTGTGAAGCTGGAGGCAGTTCTTCAAGCCTTCCGTTCTTCGTTACACTTAAAAGTCGGCCATTTTATTTCGCATTTCATCGTCGACAAAATTTCTCTTCAAAAAAAAAAAAAAAGATCATTTTTTCTCGAGAAACTCCGTTGAAACGTCTCGACAAAATGGCGGCGACAGCGATTATCCATCATTGGCCCATAACACGAAATCATTGCAACAACAGAGACACTGTTCAAAGCCGGGCATCGATCACTTTTCACTTTTCGTCCAACACAATGATTCTGTTATTTTATCATTCCAACGATCGTAGATGAGAGAAAGGGATCGACATCCCGCTTTTTGAAATAATGCATGCAAGAATAAATAAAATACGTCAACGTGCAGTGATTACGTGCGGATGCAACCAGGCTAAGAGCATGCCGGGAGCTTTCCGAGTAGCTGGCGGATTTACTTCCTCGAGGCGGTCCCCTCCGTTCGACGTATGTATCTCGTAGGAAAAAAAAGTTTGTTTCGAAATTAAAAACGAAAAAGAAGAATACGGAGAAATAGATAAAAGAGAGAGAGAGAGAGATAGAGAGAAAGAGAGAGAAAGAGAGCGTGTGTGTGTGTGAAAGAGATGAAGAAAAATAATAATTCGACGTGACAATTATGCTTCTTTGCCGTGTTTCTCTGAATAACCCGACGAATATAGTTGAAATGCAAATGTTTCGTGTAATGTCGTGTGCGTGTGCTTTCGAGTTTCGTTATATATAGATTGACAACGCGACATTTTGAAAACGCGTTTAACGATGAGATGGGAATGAGATCTGTATTAAAATAATTTTCGATAAAGATTTATTTACGAATTTTTTTTTTGTCTTATCGAATCGCGATCATTTTGTGAGAATATAATTTCATTCCCTTTTTGCGTCGATGTATGGTATCTTGTTTACTTTTTGAAGCAATTTTGAAATTGCCTTTAGAATTTATTAATATCGATGCAATTAATAATGTGATGGAAATACTTTTCTTTTAAAAGAACTGTTGATTAAAAGGATAATTACGTTGAAATATCAATATTCGTTCAACATATATAACATCGAAGAAACGTCATTTCACAGAATCATTTTCAAAATTATTTTGAATTCTTTAAGACCTCGTGTAATAATTTTTTATATCTCATCATTAAACCCGTTTCCATTCTCTCGTAAATACAAATTAGGAAGAAGAATTCTTCTTCGAGATGTTTCGTGGTGATTTTCAAGTGGACGAGGATTGCAGGAAAATTGTTTCGACAATTTTTAAAATATAAACTAAAATATGTTACATTTCACAGGATCCTACAATCCTCGTGGATCAACAAGTATCGTATACAACTCGTTCATATCTTTTTTATGCTCAAAGCCGAACAAACGCTAGGATCTTTTCGAAAAAAGTCAATTCTTAAATTTTGCAATAACAAAAACAACAAGAAAGAAACAATTGACAAACAATTTAGCGTTTGTTCAACCCTAGCCGAACAAAAAAAAGGTTCTCTACCATGATAAGTAATGATCTACTACATCTCGTACATACACGTATATCCTTGCAATACACGGATATTATTCGAGTACTCGAGTCGTCGACAAGACTACTACTCTTCTCTGTACTATTATTCTTTCACCAAAAAAAAAAAAAAAAAAAAAAAAACAAAGGCTCTAATTGCACTCTAATAAGCAAAATTTACCAACCTACTTCGAAAACTGATCCTGCGACCATCGTCTCGTCCGATTCGATATCAAAAAGGAAAAAAAAAAAAAAAAAACAAAGGCTCTAATTGCACTCTAATAAGCAAAATTTACCAACCTACTTCGAAAACTGATCCTGCGACCATCGTCTCGTCCGATTCGATATCAAAAAGGAAAAAAAAAAAAAAAAAACAAAGGCTCTAATTGCACTCTAATAAGCAAAATTTACCAACCTACTTCGAAAACTGATCCTGCGCCCATCGTCTCGTCCGAATCTTTATCAAAAAGAAAAAAAAAAAAAAAAAAAAAGAAAAGAAAAAATTCGCGTCGAAATCCCACGCAATAAATTCGACAAAACAAATTCATAATATTGTAAATTATTAACGTACAATTAAAAATTAACGACGACGAGCGTCGCACGTATCATTCCTCGACAACAAACAAATGACAAAATCCAGAAAACTCGAGGAAATGAAAACTCGAGTCGGGAACAACTAGAACTAGAGAATACAATTTTCTTTCCGAATGAATCCGTTCGATGAAGGGAGAGGAGTTGGAGGAGGGGGGGGGGGCAGCTTGTTGGTGGAGCTTATAGTGGAGCTTACCCTCACGCCGAATGCGGCGATCTTCAGTATGCACTCGACGGTGAACATCCCCGTGAAGCACATGTTCATGTACTTCAGCGTGTTCTTGTACGCGTCGCTTTGCCGATGGAACTGCAATGCATGACACTGACAAACACACGGGCCGAGAGAAAGACGGACAAAACGGGCGTCAACAAGCCTATCAATTTCCCGCGTGTATACACACGGCGGAAATTCACGCTCCCGCCGATCCCTTCCCCTCCCCCTTCTCCTCTCCTCTCCACTCTTTCTCCTCTCCTCGAGCGAGGGGAAAAAGAGAGCGAGAATCAAGGAGAGGAGGGGGGGGAAAGGCTGTTCTTCATCGGGCGAACCGTCCATCATCGACGCGTTTTTCTGCAATGCAATTTGCTTCCTTTTTTTTTTTTTTTTTTAGAGTGATTAAATTAGGGATTCAGAGAAGCAAGTTAATATTTGTAAATATTAATGTAAATCGTTGCTGCAAAGTCAAAGATTTTATTGATCGTGTGATAAGTAAATCGATTACGGAGATCAGAGGTAAAAGTTGATTTATTTTTTTTGTGATTAATTTTTTGGAGAAATTTTTGAAAAATACACAAATCTCGATTTACTTTTTCACGATTTCTCGAATCAACATTCTGTAACTATAATTGCCAATGGGGTTGAAGAAAAATCGTTCAAAGAACGTTCAAAGAAATCGACTTGTTCCAAGTTTAGCTCGTCGATAAATTTACCTTCTCGCTTAGGATAACTAAAGGGATGGCGTATCGATGGACGGTTCCCTCGATATGATACACAATATTACAAATATTTATGTATATATATATATATATATTTTTTATATTAAAAACTGTGTAAAATAGAGTGCGAAATCTGTAAGTTACATGTATATACGTGTGTATATATACACACGTATACACGTGTAAGTGAAAAACTTTCCAGTCGACAGAAAAAAAAAAAAAAGGGAGACACATGGGGGTATAATATTAGCGTTAACCTAAATAGTACGTGTATCTGTACGATCGTACAGAGTGACGTTAAAGAGATTTCCTTTTTTTTTTTTTTTTTTTTTTTTATATATCAGCAAAGTGAGGACAGTTTTAGACTGTATACTTGTATATCGAGTGTGGGGTTGTTGATGTGTGCACACGTTTATACTGGTACAAGCTGAATGCCCTTCTATAATAGGGGTAACATCGAAAAATTGAATTTTTCCATTTCTTTCTGGCTGTGCATTTGATTTATATGCATGATTCGTATTTTTATAATACTAGTAATATTAATTAGTATCAATTTGGTATCCCCAAAAAAAAAAATTAATTGTAAGATATTTAAATATCTGCTTATAAAAACAAGTTATAAAAGAAAAACAAAAAATTGGGCATAAAGATTCCACAATTTTTACAATTTACGTTAGAAATACTTTACGGAATATAAATCATGCACATGGAAATCAAATCAAATCATTGAAAAGTGGCATCGATTCTTCTAAATAAATACCCCTTTACCTATGCCCAAATAGATAGACATAAACAGGATTCGAACGATGATTGAATCGCGTGCAACGACGCGACGATTAAGGGGGGACGAACAAAAAAAAATCTGTCTTCTTCGCGATCAAATTGGGGAAAAATTCCCAATGAATTACCACCCCTCGATCGTTCGCGTCGGGATCGATTTCTGGAGAGAGAGAGAGAGAAAGACAGAAAGATGACGTTTGGAAGAGAGTCAGAGAGTGGTGAGAAATCGGAGGAGAAGCGAATCTTAATGGCGAACGAAAAAGAAAAAGAAACGAATCGAGAAAGAAAGAAAGAAAGAAAAAAAAAGAATCATCTAGAATTAAAGATCGAAAGAAGAAGAAGAAAAAAATGAGAGGAAATACGTGAGGTGAGAGGGAAGATGGAGAATTGTTAAGATAAAAATCTCTCCCCGCTCGAGGTACTGTAAAAACTGTTTTCTTTTTTCTTTTTCGTCAAGTTTCGAGGGGAGGAAGGATCAAAAATCGTGCGGGCGCCCCGTGCAAGAAACCGTGTCTTTGGTAAAAAAAAAAAACACACACACACACATTCAGTGGATGTAGTCCTGGGTGTTGTTTAGCTCGACGAACAAATTCGGTCGAGTTTGATTTTTTCGATTTTGTTGCGAGCAGCCAGCATGCGACACGCAGATTTTGCACGTGTATGGACGAACACAACGCGTGTGACATCCTCGTGTGTGCGAGAATACGTGCTGTGAATACATGTCAGGAACAGTTACGTGCCTTCGGAACAATGAGAGATCGAGACTCGTCCTTCCATTTCCATCTGTCCATCGTCGAAATCGTTGCGAATATTTTCGACCACGAACGAAGAATCGATCGAATTTATGTATTTATAAGAAAGAGATGAATAATCATTTTGCTTACTTTTCAATTTTTAAAAACGAAAAATCGCGAACGACGATCTCGTACCTCTTCCCTTCTCAACATTTATAATATCGTGTGCCGCTCGTGTGTATTATCGCTTTTCATTCACAGAACCATGTGCAGCTTAACGGTGTGCGCGTGAACGACCACGTCCGCTCATTACGTTGCTCGTTGGCGTCGCCAGGCGGCGTGTATTTCGAAAAAACGAAAAAATAGAAAAAGGAAAACGAGCGATGCTGTGTATACGTGTGTACACCGATCGAACTGCCGTGGTTGTTTCGACCCGGTTAACGAGTGTATTCACATCCAGGATTTCGTGTCCAGAATCGACTAACCGAGTCGAGAAGCGTTAGCTATAACGTGTCACGTGCGTTCTTTAAAAAAAAAAAAAAAAAGAAACAAAGAAGGAAAGAAAAGAGATCTACGATTGCGTTGCTCGAGCGTTGCAAGCCTTAAAAGAAAAAAAAAAAAAAAAGAAGAAGAGAATTTTCAGTCCAGATCAATTCTAAAAAAAGCGTATCCCTTTGCTTGAAAACATTCTCCACCAGCTCTTTTTGCATCTGCTAATCACTTTTTCTAATTAATGCAAGCGAGAATAGAATAGATAGGATTGGAAAAGAAGGAGGAGGAGGATCGAGAAAAATGACGAATGATATATGGAAGATGAGAGAGAAAGAGAGAGAGATAGAGGAGAACAGACTGTGCGCTTCAAAGGTACAAAACAGGATTTTCGAGCGCAGAAGAATATTCCTTTCTTTCCATCCTCGTTGCTTTCGTTCCAATCAAAAGCCAATTGCTCGTGCAACGCTTCGAACCCCGCCACCAGTTCAAACATGGGCTTGTACGAGTCGAACGCACGTCGTGTGTATATGTGTGGGTGTGTGTGTGTGGGAGGGGGGAGCGAGGAAAGGATATTCACCGATATTCGATATATATGCATATCGGTTTTTCCACGCATCTTCGAGTGGTATATAATGTACTATGTACTATCAAGACGAGGACACAGCAGCGGGCATGCAATAAGAAAGAGGGGGAAGAGAGAGAACGATAGAGAAGGAGGAAAAAGGAGAACAATATATCGAACGGAACGAAAATCGAAAAATTAAAAAAAGAAGGAAAAGAAAAGAAAGAAGAAGCGAAACGGAAAAATACCGGCTTTTGGGGAGGGGTAGAAGAAAAAATAACGAGAGCATGGAAAATATGTTCGAGACAAACGCGAGAGACAGATGTTGGTGGGTTAGGATAGAGCGCAGAGCGCGAGTGCCATCACGTATACAAGGTGTCTTATCTTATTTGGATTTATCGATTTTGTTAATGTTATTATTATATCACGTCGTAGCGAAAAATGTTTCGTTGTGAAACTTGAATTGGTCGTATAATATCAATCAAACTTTATATTCTCTAAAATAAAAAATTTAATTTTTAATTGATTTTATAAAATTTATTGTATGAGAAAGGAATACAAAAATCTGACTGGAATTTAGAGTTGTTGATGAAAGAATTAGCATCATCTCTTGTAATCATTCAATTTTTATTTGAAATATTTTTCGCTACGAGTAATGACACTTAGAAAATCAAGATATCAAAATTGAAATATATACATTCGAGTTTTAATATTCGACGAAAGAAACTGATTGGAGTCTTTACGATTACAAAAGAACAAATTCGGTATTGAAATTTCACCTATTTTCTATAAAAGAATCCAATCGGTTTCAGCCGATTCCAAATTCAATGGACGAGTGAAAAAGAAAAATACAGAAAGAGAAAGAGAGAGAGAGAGAAAGAAAAGAGACGCCGGAAGATGGCACTCGCGCATGCCCGATATGGAGATAGAAAAAGTGTCTCGATTCTGAAACGAAAGTGGGAAGAGAGAGCAAAATGGAATAAAAAAGCAATTCGAGACACGTGAATCAACGACTGTTGAACTGAAATCTGCTTCGAACGGAGTCGAAGCGACGGGGAAAAGAAGAGAGAGATACAGAGAGAAGAGAGAAAAAGAGGGAGGAAATTTTGGTTCGACAGGAAGAGAGAAAGAGAGAGAGATAGAAAGAGAGACACAAGAGTATTGAACACAGCTGTGTACACGTATCAATGGATACAAGGATGACAATTATACAGAGAACAATAAATAAATTGACAGGCAAGAACAACAATGTCCTCGTACAGATATAACGTTATATCTTACAGCTTGCTTCTCCGTTGTGCACACGTTGTTTCTCGACAACGTGACACGCGATTAACATTCATTCTCACGCGATTCATCTTTGAGAATCGGTGCTTTTCTTTTTCTTTTTCTTTTCGATTGGTTAAAGTTGCCAAACGCGAGAGTGAGACGAGATTCGAGGGAGGGGGGGGAGGAGAGGAAGAAGGAAATTCACTTTCTTTTTTTTTTTTTTTCTCAAAGTGTCGACAAAAGAGGATGCTCAGGTAGACAAGTTTCCTTCCCTGGTGCTCTTCTCCATCTTGCGTTAACATGGCGCGGTCACAAGAGAATTCGTCACTTTTTCCTCGAGATGCGATTCTCATCTTGAGGAGAAAGAGGGGGGGAGATTTCTTGGGGGGAAAAGGGAGAGATTCATTGACGCTTACCTTCATCATGAGCAGTACTGTGTTTAATACGATGAGACCCATGATAAAATATTCGAAAGGCGTCGATACCACTATTCTCCAGATTTTGTACTTTACGCTGTTCCGCTCTTTCGGCATGTACCTTTCCAGAGGGCGAGCTTGTATCGTGAAGTCTATGCAAGATTTCTGAAACGAACGTCGAATGGTTAATCGTGATTTTAATCTATCGTCACTTTCCTTACAGTCGTTTATACACCTACTGATTTTTTGTTTGGTACACGATGAATATTATTGGATCATTCTATAAATAAGCTCAATTTCGTATCGAATAGAAAAATTCAATTGGGAATATTTACAGTAATTAAGCAAAGAATTTAATTAATGTAGCATTAATAAATAAATCATCATAGCAAACTTTGTTATGATAACGTTTGAATGAAAATAATAAACAAAGAGAAAAGTAAAAAGTTTAATCAAATATTTCTTATTAAACATCAGCAATGAGAAATTTAAATATTAACAGATATTCTACAAAATTTGAAGCACGCTAAGGACATGTATCTTTATTATTTAATATTTTAGAGAATAATTTGATCATTAAAATAAATGTTTTCGATTGAGAGTATATAAAATTCACAGAATGACCTAATAAAAATCGAACCTGACCAACCTGATTTTTGTCGATTTCGCCGTCTTGCAATTCAGCCTCTCCCTGCTCCTGAAAAGTGATGATAATCAAGGCCACGAAGATGTTGACGAAGAAGAATGGAAATACGATGAAGTAGACGATGTAGAAAATGGACATCTCTATACGAAAATTCTGTATGGGGCCCTTGTCCTCGTACGTGGCCGCCATAGAATTCTGCAGGATTTGGGGCCAACCCTCGCCAGTCTGTACCGCGAACAGCGTAAGCATGGCGGCCATCACGTTGTCGTAGTGAAAAAACTGCGACTGCCATTCACGTTTCTTTGGCTCTGGCAACAGGGCGCCGTCTTCGAAAACGAAATACTGACCCCTGCACAAGACACCAGACGAAGGAACGAACGTTAAAAAACGCAAAAAAAAAAAAAAAAAAACATACCCAAAATCCAAATTCGATTTAAAAAAAAAAAATACATACCTACGCGTTTCCATGAATCAAATTTTCTTTTCTAAGGGAGGAAAAAAGATATATACAAAATACTCACTGGCAATCCTGTTGCGTATATTTGCTCTCGTCGCTGCAGTAGAAGAACTTGCCGTTGAACAGCTGCACCGCGATCACAGCGAATATGAATTGGAACAATATGTACACTATGAGAATGTTAATGACATTTTTAAGACTGTTCACCACGCAGTCGAAGACCGCCTTAAGCTTCGGCACCCTCTTGATCGTCTTTAACGGCCTGAGCACGCGGAGCACCCTCAACGACTTGATCGTGGAGAGATTTTGCCCGGCCGAGCTGCCCGTCATGTCGAAGGCGAACGAAACCGCGGCGCATATCACCACAACCGCGTCCATAATGTTCCAGAACTCGCGCAGATACGAGCCCGGATGAAGTATGATACCGAGATCGATTATCTTCAGTATCATCTCGACGGTGAAGACACCTGTGAACGCGTAATCGAAGTAATTGAGAACTTCGTTCCTCGGCGAGTCCTCCCATACGGGATCTTCGGCGGCCAACGCGATACTCGACAGCGATATCACCACCATTATGAAGAAGTCGAAGTACCTCAGGTTGACGACCCAATGGGCGGCTC